TTATTATTATTATTATTATTATTATTATTATTATTATTATTATTATTATTTAAAAAATAAAGGATTTTATTCAGGGTTAAAACTAAAATTAAATCATGACAAAAAACACCCTGATGGGGAGTTTAAAGAGGCGGTCCCTATGTCAAAAAAACCTCCCTAAAATAAAATATGTATTAAAAAGCTAACGCTAAAGTTTTATTACAGATACTAAAAAAAAATAAATTTGTATCATAAAATACATAAAGAAGATTTGCAGGTACAACATTTGCAGGTAACTCGTTCCACCCGAAGCGTTTTACCGAATAAAAACAAGCACGCCTTGATTATATCTTTCCCGCTTTGCATCAGAACCACTACTGATCACTCGCTGATGATCATTTGAGAAATGTGTATGAAACTTGTTATCTTAGGAACACTTGAACAATTGTAGAAGGTAGTGAATCAAAAATAATTCTTTCACGCTTAACAAAAAAAGCTGAGTCGGACGGTCAATGGAAAACAAAATATATTAAAATGCCAGTATGGCATATGTTTGAAGTTTCAAAGAACTTAATAATGGTTTCGTAATTTTCCTCTAACTTTTTAATACAAGTGGAAACCTTTTTCGGTAATCAGCTGAGGCCCACTGGAGATGTAAAATGTGTATTGTAAACAACAGTGCGTGGGTGATATGAGGTTTTGAGATGTTATTAGCACTTTTTTGATTTGCCAATAACTGGCATTTGTCGGAAAACCATTTCAGATTTCATACACAAGACAGATCATTAATTATTATGGAAACAAACAGACAAAGATATATTTATTTTTCAATTAAGTGTAGGAAGTGATTTGATCTTTCCTCCAGCTATTATCATAAACTTTAAAAATTGATTTTAAGAAATCGAGTACGAGCGAGAGAAAACGATTGTCTTGTACTGTAAGAAAATCGGTGTCAATCGATTCCCTTTGGGTTCAATACCTGTGCGATCTCCGGATGAAAAAAATCTTGAAATGCTCGTCATTTGCGATAGAACTTTCGATCAACATAAGGAACTCAGTTGCTATAATCCGAAAATTGCTTTTAGATATCATTTCAATAACATTGAAATCACTGATAAACTTCTGTAAAAAAATAAGCTGATACTACGATGTAGACAACTTGACGACTTAATTTCCGGACTGGGTTTCGATATTTTCTTTGAAGCATTTGACATAATGTATTGAAGTTTCATATTCATATTTACACCGCTCACGGAAGTAATCTAAGGCTCTCAAATATTGATAGGAGTGCTAAGCATCTTCATCACTAGTTTAATTATAAATTTACAGTTGATCACGTTTGTTTCGGTTCAAGACACAAACCTTTCATAGTAAACAGCCTCGTAACTGGACGTTCAGCTATCGTTTCCCACTCGCGAGAAAACTCGTACAAGCCTTGGAAATCAATCTGACAAAGGTATGTTAATACTTTTATGTAGAGTGTCCTCTTTTCCTTTGCGTAAAATGACCGAAGAAAAAAACTGAACACAGTCTCGCAATCGACAAAGTAGAACTCTTAGCCCAAACACATCATATCTTAATCTCTCAAAGAAAGCTGGAACAGAACTGAAAACCCTGTCTGTCTACATCCAACAATCTGTTCTTTAAAAAGTGTTTGAAAAGTCACTCAGATTATTTTCAGAATAACTGTGCAATTGAAAATGCTTAGTAAAAGTATAGTTTGAAGAAGCCAGTGTAAAGCCATAAACTTCAGATTTAGAATTTTGTTTCCACATTAACGCTGAACTGAAAAAAAAAAGCAGAATCAGTGTCAATCTGGCGTTCTTTAAATAAATTAACTCTGTCTTACATATGCCAAGAAGTATTTTATCTCATTCAAGTACTCACTATTTCGATCGTGCATTTGTTGAAGTGATACCTCTGAACGCTGATTTAGAGGAACTTCAAGAACATCTCTTTGTTCTTTTAACACCCAATGTATCGATGTTGTTGAGAGAGAAATGTAAGATTGATATAAGATATCAATGATTTTTCTTTTTCTGCAAACAACACCACCAATTGAGCCTGAACACACGAAATTTATTTGAATGCAAAGTCCGTACACGTACATGTGGCTATTTAAGGAAGGATGAATCAGGAAAAAAAAGGATGAAAGTTGAGTGATGTTTTTTTCCTGCTTAAGGCTTTACCTTAAATTGCACAGTTCCTGTCAGTTGTTTCAGTTTTACTCGAGATAATAATAAAATCCGAGAGATTTCTTCTCGCTTCTATGTTTTGGAATAAGAAAGCTTAATACAAAAGAATAAATTTGACATTTCGTTTGATTGTAGCATCACTAAATTATTTGCAAATTGAAGAATTTCACTAAAAATGTGCTGTAGTCACCTTTCAGACTTAGAAAACCTGATCATCTTGAAATTTCAGCCCTTCAGAGAATTCATTTAAATTAGAAAAACCCGATTTGCGCACATAGAGATGATTTAATGCTTTCAAGTTTCCGTTACATCAATTAAATGTTGCTAAGAGACGGCATCACTGTGACAAAGCTGCTGATAAATTTAATTTTTCTACTACAGCTGTCGCCTTTTTCTTGAGCCCCGTCCACACTACGCGGAGAAATTTGAAAACGCAGCTTTATTTCTACGGTTAGGCCTACCGTCCTCACTAATCCGTCATGAAAACGGAGCTTTTCGACAACGCTCTTCAAACAGGAGGAATTTGAAAACGTCGGCTTTGCATTTTAGTGTGGACGGGAAACATTTTGAAAACGAAGCTTTTCGAAAACGATGACGTCACGATAATCATATGATTTCCTCGCCCGAGTTTTCCTCAAGCACAATCCAAAATGACCGCTGATTGTCGCGTTATTAAACTCCTCTGTCGTAGTGTGAACCGAAAACATTTGATGCGTTTTCAGAGTGAAAACACCGTTTTCAAATTCTACGGTGGGGTGTGGACGGTTGCTCTTCAGTGACTGCAAAAGAGTTGTAATACTGTTCCAATACCAAAACAAAATGTGGTAACAGTTTTTTGAAAGGGCATTATTTGGGTGTTATTTCCCCGCTGAAAGGTGCTGATAAAATTAACCAAATCTACAGCCAAAAGTTTATCGTTTCAATTGCAAGCTAATGCCTATATTGCAAAGTGTGTAATAGTTGACGTCGATAAACTATGTCTGCTTTGTTATTGCGGCTTAGACTTAATCTGTCCGTATCAGAAAAATTCTTCTCTCTCTATCCGTAGAGATTCAGTGTCACGGAAATGTAACTTAAATTTACACGTGACGCGGATTTTTATAGGGTAAGGTCATTTGCCGTATCAAATTCAAATGTCGAACCAAATTGTCGCTTTTTAGCTGTACTGACTTACACGTGTAGGTCAGTGGAGCGATGTAAAATGCGTATGCGAATTTATTTACTTGCAACGTTCGGCATGGATTAGTATTATTATCTATTTAACCTCAAATACAAAGAAGTATCGATATAATCGCCTTTTTTAATTAAAAGGACTCCGTGTGAATACTGGCGGGCTCTTTATTTCTCCTTTCGGTCTCAAAACAGATAAACAAAAAGATCATTTGCCTATCGTAGAAAAGTAAGAAGACTTTAGAGATTAAAGGCTGTATCTTTTTATATGATCCTGTTAGTTGCGCAGAACATTTACAAGGATTTAGTCTTAAAGATAGAAACAGCCCGGGTTCATATTTCCGACAAGTTTACTAGCGTGAAAATTTAAACTGAGCTTCGGATTGAGGTATGAATTATGTCTTACGCTACTATAATGAACAAAAAATTATATGCAAAGAACTGGTGTGAAATTTAACCGCTAGTGTTGCATCCAATTTTCTGCACGCAACGCCGAGGATATTCCCTCAGGGAAATCATATTGCTGTCTATTAGAAACTGCGATTTTTAAAACAATGACGGTCTTTGTTTTAAGAGTTCTTTAAAAATAAGTTTCTATCAGCCTATGATTTTTACCCATCGTGTTTTTATTATTGTTTAGATCAAATAGACACAAAATTCCTTGCTTTTTAGAAAGGACTTGCTATGAAGTTACTTTGTTTGAAGAGAGAAAATTATGACAAAAAGATCCAAAATTTTCCCACAATCACAATTTTGAATTCTTGAAACCCCATCGCAAAATCAAATTTGACGAGCTGTAATTCAATTCCATAATTATAATCTCTTATTTCTCCTCCAAATTAAAATACTTCTTCTCCTTTGCTCTTAAGAATCTTTTATCCAATTTATTTTGGTGGTACTGATTTGACAAAATATATGGAAATAAGAAAAGGACTGATAATCAGCTGGGACACTTTCCCTCTAAAACAGTTTTTTAATTATCCAGTGCAATATTCTATGTGTAAGGCAAAAATTAGCGAAAGTAATAAGCGACGTTTCAACATTGTCGGATGTCATTTTCAAGTGAATATGTAGGTTAGTTCTTGCTTTATAAATAGATCTACAATTATGCGCATAAGATGGCAAATACGTTAAGTGAAAAGAAAGCAAGAAAAAAGTGGCTATTTTATTTAGAAACTATGTTATTTGAAGTTTGCAAAAAGTTGTATCTTGACATGCCATACGAATACCTTTTCTACTTTTTTTGTGTTTCTAGAGCAAGAATTTGAGTACGTCTAGCTGTCTGAAGTCTTAGCACAGCTTCAAGTTTGACTGCGAGATGGGTCTGGGAGCGAGCCACTGTCGAGGTGTCTGGGCGCCAAGAGAAGTGTCACTCACCACTCTGTCCATAGCTGCAGTTTTCTGCTTTGTTACAGTTCCCGGTAATCTGCTGATTATCCTGTCTGTTCTGATGGATCCCAACAAGAATCTCCGACGCACTCCTTACATTCTACTCATTTTAAACCTGGCCATCACGGATCTGATCGTGGGTGTCATGGTGGAACCCCTGTCAATGTACACACACTGGAATGAGGCGCATGGCCTGTCAATCAACTACTCGTGGCTGTCGCAGTTTGTCTATTTCATGTGTTGTACCGCCTCGCTTCTCAGCCTGTGCATTCTCACAATTGACCGGTACCTGGCGATTACCTCACCCATGTGGTACCGTGCTAACATGACAAACACACGCGTCCTACAAGCCTCCATCTTCATCTGGGTGTTGTCAATTTCTTGCAGCGGCGCACTGTTTGCCACTGGCTTCGTCACATACGCCTTTATCTTCGCCACCTTGACGCTAATCTGCGCGATTTTCATTTTGGCCTTCACGTACGTCCGCATATTTTTGGTTGTGAAACGGAAAGTCAAGGAGCTAAACAACTTGCATCAAGGCGATGCTGAACGGAAGAAAGCCCAAGAAAGAAACATGGTGTGGGAAAGAAAGCTGACCAAAACCCATCTGACGATGCTGCTCGCCTTCCTGGTGTGCTATGGCCCTGCGTGTATCATGATTTATCTCATGAATACGTGCAGCATTTGCAGCTGTGAAGTCATTCATTGGTTACGAGACATGCACTTTGTGTTAGTCACACTGAACTCGTTGATCAATCCATTGGTCTACGCTCTAAGGCTTCCTGGATTTCGGAAAGCCATCCATTTCTTCCTGCGTCCTTGTCTTTGCTGTGGAAGGGGAGTGGTGGCACCGGATCCCAGTCTGGAAACATCTCAGCGCGGTGAAACAGACGTCACTCAATCTACCAATGTGCATGTTAGCTACCATCCTGAAAGAGGGCGATCATCTGTCCGATGAGGAGAATGTAGCCTGGCGTTGTCATTGGGACGCAGGTCGCCGTCATGGTTTTTCCCGCTATAAACTGCCTCTAACTAGGTTTTTTTCTCGGTAGTCCCCAATTCAAATCCAAAGCCACGCCGTGTAAATAGTCACCTCGCCAACCTACTGTTATTTGGAAATCTTAGCTATGCTCTATTTGATTTTAATGTTGTTTCTTGCGTTCTTTTTATTTATTTTTACTGATTTCAAATATGATCAGACTACAAACGCACGTTTGACGATCGTGATTCTGACGTTCCTCAGTGCTACATACAATATTTCATGAACTAAATACAAGGGTATATAAATAACATACAAGTGTAAATTACAACTAAATTATCAGGACGATGTAATGTTAGGTAATGGATCAAAGAACAATTGAATAGAACAGCGGCTTTCAGCTGATCGTTGGAAGGCTTTTAATCCACTTCGATTTCCTCAAATGAATTGTCACCTCGGACGTTCTTGATATAAGAAATATAATTAACTTTTAACGCTTTAAAAGCACTCCAAATAGTCTAAAACAACGTTTTAGATCATTTGAGAGAAAAAAATTCCATTGGTGGCCTTGGTAGAGCTCAATAATGGTGTGGAAAAGGTGAGGCCAAGAATGAGGTAAATCAGAAGATGTAAATAACTTGAAAACAGTAAACTCAATTTGAATTGCCAAATATTAATACTGCCGTTATTATGTTGCTGAGCGACAGAGCTTGATGTTTAGTGTAATCAGTTGGGCAGTGCTGGCGGTCCTCCATTTCTTGTGAATAAGTTAAATACAAGTTAAGAATTAAATCTAAGCTAACTGTAACAATTCTTGGCTGAAGTAAAACAAAGATGCAAAGGCTTTCTTCTTCTTCAATATTTCCCATTTTCCCCAAATCTCTCTCAATTCTTCAAGGTTTAGAAGGTCTTGTATGCAATATCAAGCATACCAGTACAACACCTTAGACCCGCTTTATTGTAACATACAAGGGTAATTTCGAGACGAGCGAAAAAATATCACAGAAACAGTAACTTAATGCTCTTAGTGTTGTCGTTATTATTAGCCGTAACTTCGGCTTCGGTACTCCAGTACCCGGGGAGTACTTCCATATAAAAAGGACAGGGGGGTGCTCATCGGAAATTTTAAAAAGAACCCCTAAGGGATACCAAGATCCTGTTTTGTGGGCGTGGCTTGAAATGTTTTTCATCCCTGAGAGGTATCAATTCTAAAACAACACATTATCTCATGTCATATTTTTTTGGGGCTCAACACCCTAAAAGGTACCTAAAAATGTATGGGAGGTCNCCCCCCCCCGAGCTCCACTACAGCACAGGTATTCTTGGCCATGGGACGCAAGATAACGCAGGTTTAGGCAGGTCTGCAAATAGAGCAATAGAGTGAGAGAGTCTTGTGCTAGCACGGTATTTCGAACCTTATCCTTGACTCATTGCAAGTCTATGTCGCAGTAATACATCAGCTAAATTTTATAAGGGCGAAGATTTTCTAACGTCACTGTCTTTGTTTTAGAGCAGGCATTAAAGGAATTGATTTCAAACATTTAAACAGCTTGTGAAACTTAGTGAATTGGTGCAAGTTTTAATTTAGAAGTCATTGGGTAATTATTAATTTCACGGTGGACAAGCTCCAGCCACTCAGTCAGTCTGTAAAAATACCAGTCCAGGGTGGACCTAGCTGCCATATCCCACTTTCTGCTATGAACTTTAGTGTTCTTGCATGACGATTTTTCTCAGACAAATTAGACAACAGTGCATTCATGAAATTTTCAACCCTGTTAACATGAGATTTCATAATTTCCAGTGTATATGGTTTAAGTAAATCTTCTTCCCTCAACCCAACTGTAGCACTCATGCTACACATGTTTCCTTTGCTAACATTAGCATAAGGAGAAGGATGAGTAGCAGCTTGATTTAATTCATTATTAGCCCAGCTCTGCCAGCTCATATCAGCACGTGGTTGAAACTCTAAAGTACATAACCTGTCACAAACATTAAAAGCATTACCCTCTAACATTTCCATTTCATCAGTATGTTGCTTCCAAATACTTATTTTAAGTATTTCTTGTTTCTCCCCCAAACTGACACACTGTAAAATACCTTGAAAGTCCCTATTTCCTACCCTATCCCCAAAGTTCCAGCATGTCAGACTTCCTACTGACATAGTTTAAGTTGGCTGGATTCAGGAGCCCCATCATCAGAAAATTGAAACATGAAATGATATGTGCTTTCCTTGAACTCACCAAGTGAGTTTACGTGACAAATGAGGAAGTCTCAAGTGCAAATCAGTTAGCATATATACCATCACAGTTATTACTCTAGAAACAGCCAGTGCATTGGGGATTTAATTGACTAGGCCAATGTCAAGACTCCTCACAAAAATTTCCACCCGCTTATCAGAAATACTTATACATGCATGTTGCAAGGCACCAAGAGTTCAGAATTGGGATCAAAAACTGACGATTGAGCTTTACAGACAAGGGCATACTTTTGTCTAAACAAAAAGTTTTGATACTTCATAAGCACAGCTCACTTCAAGGCCTCTACTGAATTTTGATACTACTCCATTGTCTTGTCAAACAAGCTTTGGATATATTTTTGCCAGTTGAGCCCTGAAATCAGCATATACATGGTTTGATTGTCAGCAGTAGATGGCACATAATCCCAAGCCCCATATAGTGATTGTTCTTTTCCTACATGCATAAATTCTAAGACAGTTTTGGTTTTGTGTCTTCTTCTATATCTAATAATAGAATTGACATTTGTGCTCATCTCATAAGTTGTACTAGTATTTTGTCTCCTACTGACAGAAAACCCTTTTTGCTCAAGTTAAGATTTAAATTTGTTGTACTGCTCATTTAATTCATTAACTCTCTCTCCTCTTGCTGCTGAACTTGGACTGTCTTTTCTTTCACACTTCTTTCAAGCCTTTCAAGTTCCCCCTCAGCTGCATCATGTTGAGCTACCGAGGTTTGTACTTGTTTGTCTGTAAAAACAAACTCAAATATTCAGAAGTCAATTGCAGGTAAAAAACAAGAGAATGGTCATAAAATTTAAGTCTGTTTACTAAAAGATGAAATAAATTATTTTTAATTTATAAAATTTGTTGTGATTTTAATATATGAAAAAGGAGAAACTTATTTAACGAATAAAGAAGCCTGAGCAGTGTATTACACTGTGATAAAGCATGACGGGCATTTCAGAACATGAGGAAAACATAGAACACATGAGCTGCAGGTGAGTGTTTTCTACATTTCTCAAGTGTTCTCAAATGTCCGGAGTGCCTTATCACAGTGTAATACACGGCTTAGGCTTCTTCATTTGCTTTATGATATAGAGGTAACGTGACGAAAACAATAAAAAAGCTTTTTCTATGCTTTATACTCTGATAAAACATGGGTTTTTGACCAACCAGAGCGTGCCCAGGGTCCTATCTATATAATAACGCCTTTTAATACTATACACTCTTTGATATTTACCAGTTTCATCCAGGTGAGCCTTTTTAGTGTGAAGTTTTTCTTCGATTTTCCTGTTTTCTTCATTTAATTGTCCCTTCCTTTTCAAAGCTACATGTGAAGTTGAACTTTTCCAAAACTCATGAAAAAAAAACTCTCTTCCAATCACGGCGTCCAGGGTGAGCATTGGGCTTGCTGCACTTTTTGCTTTTTCCCGGCTCGACCGTCTTCGACTACAACAAGAAAGAAATTAGTTGTTATTCATGAGTCTCTGAAATCAAAGATGACCGCCAAGTCAAGACACGTATTGGGTCAAAGCCATGCTCAGCACTATTTTCTTTACCTCTCATTCCCTTCATACGGTCCATATGAGAAATCGCTAGTAAAAGGTCCTTTCACTGTGGTACTGTATGAATGGCCGATGCCAGTGATGAATCCAATATGGCGGCCAACAAGAAGCTTTTAGTACCCGATAAACTCTGAGTTTAAACGAACTAATTTATAGCTTTCTGCTCCCAAAGTCAGAACAAGTGAGGGCGAAATACATCGACAAAGCCTTTTGATTTCACATTAGGGAGGTTACAAAAAGTAAATATACTGGAGAAATTCGCAATTTCCTCCACGATATAGTCTTTCCGCTCTCACAAACAATCCTATGGATGGGTCCCGAAATTAAAAAGAAACGCTAATAGGGGGAAACTGTCCCTACCCCGGAAAAAGACGGTTTAGTCCGGATTTACTTCCGAGTGGGCGTTAAACAGATGTCATTATCCGTCTCTAGCGGAAATATATGCGATCGAAACTATTAGAAATCCGTAGCTGGAAGTTTGGGCTATTATATGAGGGCTAAATATAATCATATTGGTTCTCGTAACCAACAACGAGGGTCTTTTGAAAGCAACATTATTTTGAGCACAAACAAGCGACGCCATCGGCGGGCCGCTTGGTAAGGAGACCAAAAGGACGCTATGCTATGGGAGGAAAAAATCACCGTGATTCTTGCGTGGAGAGAGGCGCGTGGGAGGTAAGTGACACGCTAAAGTATTACAACGAGCTCAATACACACCGCTTGCTTCGGAGTCCAGCAAACTGTAAGGTTATTGCATCTGCGTGACATTTGTGCCTCTGCGTGACATAGCATTGTCACACACCACCACTCAGAGATTTTGTCTACCTCTTTCAACCGGTCGAAACCTAACTAATTGGCTCTGAAACTAAAAAGATAGAGTCTCACCATCCCCTCCAAACTTAAACCATGCTATTTGACACATACAAAGATTGATAACAAAAAGAAAGGGAGTCAGGCAATAAAGCAAAAACAAAGTATTTTATTAAGCAAAGCGTCTGCAAAATATAAAGCGAAAAAGGGTGTCTTTATAATGGTTATTACAACTTGAACCTCTAATTAATAAGAATTAAGCCTATACCGTGGCAAGAGCACTGGGAGACGAAATGGCTGGAAAAGTTTCGAATCTTTTTAATAAAAGATTGTTAGAAAAGAGTCCAGAAATAGTCAATATCCTACATTATTATATGGAGAAGAGTGTTTTACTGGGAACTAAACCACTCGTAGATTCCATACACCACTTTATCCGGGACCCGAGTGGCGTATTTTCAGTATGTCACCTTTGTGAGTGTCGTATCGTTCAATGAAGTCACGATTCCCGCCTTTTGCTTTTGTTGAATTAGTTTCTCCATATAATAAAAAGAACATTACACGTTGGCTCGAAGATATGAATTTTATGTTCTCGTGGCAAGAACAATATTGTTCTTGCCAATCGAACATAAAATTCATATCTTCTCGCCACCGTGTAATATCCCCTATTTATTAATTAGAGGATACTAGAGAATTTGTGCAACCACAACGGTGACCCTGAAGACAAGATCAGTTGAAAAGTCAATTTCAATTTGGAATCTTAAGATCTCTTCAGTTTGTCTGTCAGAGCTATTTCTCCAGCGCTAATTTAACCTGTCAAGGCTCTGTTCCGTTACAAACAAAACTGTAAATAATTTGTCGACTTTATTCTCCTTGTGGTTTTGTAAAGGACGGCTAAGAAACGTGCAAACATTTATAGCGCAGGTGCAAAACTATTGCGCCGCTCTCCACTGGAAACGTCTTGTCTTCGAGGTTTTCTTGTTGCTGTCTTCGAGGTATTAAGCGTAAATTCGCTAATGTCTTGATGTACCAAATCCTTAGAACCAACGGTAAAAGAAATGCATCCACAAGGAGAACTAAAGTCTGAAAAGTTTAACTAAAAGATAAATATATAATTATACCATGCCATAGAAAATACAGCCAATCACAATACAGGAAAACCGTTGTATACTGGACGATCCTTCCCATCATGATTTTGTTGGCCACTGTATTTTATACGGCGTGGTATAAAGTAGATATGAAACACTCTCTCGTGGTATATCATGAGATATCTCACCTGTAACTTGTATTTTCTTGGTGTACACACTCCCTTAAAGGGTCGTGGGTGTATCGAGAAAATACAAGTGACTCGAATACCATGCATAACTAGTATATAGCACTTTAACAGAAATGCAGGTGGCAGAAGTTCTTGCACGCTTATTAGTTCGTACTTATATTATTTATTGATAATAAATAATTGATAATAAATATCTAATAATTCATACTTATTGTTCATTTAATTAACTTCTAACAATGGTAAGTTCTTGCTTGTTATTTTGCTAGCTCTCAGAACACGCCATTATTTGGCTACGTCACGTGACTATTTGGACCACTGACTGAAGAAACGCTAAACCCTGAGTATGTGAAAAGTTTATGTGAAAAAAAAATAGTTCTCTGTATAACAAAATATATAATGTACAGTTTTTACATTTTGTATGAAGCTAATTTGCCGGTGAGTTCAACTGAGTTTATTGAACTTCTTCACTATTTAGTCTGAAGCCTTCAAGAACCGTAAATGTAGTCATTGCTAATCGCTTCCGATCAAAGAATTTTAAAATTATAAATAACGGAAAAAATAAGTTATCAAAGAGCGAAACACTTTCTAAGAGGTGCCAGACCAGAAGTGTGAAATCCGTGCCAAGCGCGAAAAACCAAGTCACGCTCAGTTTTGTGGTTGTAACTGATTTGCTGGATGAAAACAGGTTGGATCTGATTAGTGACTGAACATTTTGCTGGTTAAACCAATGAACGAACTTGCTAAACATAAAATCAAAGCAAAAAAGCAGCAAAATTAAGACATCATCGATTAAAAATATCTTATCTGTTACTTTTATAACGAAAGTAAACAGATTCCATTCAAACGCTTGAATCAATTTTAGTAACTTCTTGGCTTGCGAAGACTCATTTAAAAAGATCAATGTAAAGTGGGAGCAAATTGTCTCAGGTACATTTTAGGTTCTTAAAGGAATCAGAATTGATATTTACTCTAAATATATGTTAGAATAAACTAATTCTACCCCGCTATTCTATTCTATTCTTTCCAGTGTCACCATTTCTGAAGGACATAAGTTAAAAAATACTGACTTCCATAATTTAGTTGGTCAAACGCTTTCGAAAGCCATGCTAATGTCGACTAGACTATACAAGACTAGACTATAGACTATAATGGGACTTGTTATCAGTGTAGTGGCCTGGAGAGAGGAAATTGTGTAACAGCCCAAGTATATACCAGTCCTTTTCGGTTTCAAAAGATCTCTCGCTGCCAAAATAGACGTCAAGAGAAAACGTAAGATTAACCCATCACGGTCTCCAAGACATCTACAATAACTAATACACTTGAAATATATATGACAAGAATAAAGCTTAAATTTCGTTGACATCCTCATATCTACTTCATTTCAATCACGCTCGCTTTTCGTATTTCAAGTGTTCCCCAATTCTCACCCAATTCTTTCAGGAGGCTACTTAAAGACAGAATTTTGACAAAGAAAAGCTAACAACTTTACTTTATTTAAAAATGATTATACGGTTCCGATGACTGGCTTTGTAAAATCTCCATTCAACGTGGCACGAAAGCCGTCACTGGATCGAATGTCTTCCCCCACTGCCTCACAGATAACAGGTTTCTAGCTTTTAAAGGCTCTGAGGTTTCTTCCGGCTGTTAAATTGATTAAATTCGTTCTGATATCAATACACATCCGATACTTGATGTTTTTTTGAACGTTAGAACCGTTTGAAAGAGTCTCTGTGGATTTTTAAAATATCGCGCTTTGACACCGGCTGACACAAAAAGGTCAAAAACACATTTATCGTATCCCTGCCTCGTCCCCTGGTGAATAGCTTTTTACCTTGAAAATTGCCCACGCTCAACAAGGAAATCTAGGCAATAATGATCCGAAAACCGTTTAAGGATGAATTTGCCATCTTACTTACAAAGTTGAACACCATTACTTCATTGACAAACTGAATGTAGGCAGAAAATCCGAAACTTTAATTTTAGGGTCTTTCCATCAGTTTCAAGGCCATTAAAACAATTTCTAAGCAGTTTTCTTCACTTTTTAACCGGATGAAAACCTAAATCAGGGCAAAGCAAAGTTATAAGGGAAAGTTCTTTCACTTTGTAGCTCTGTTGGCAGCAAATATGAACCACAGCGGGAAGCAGTGGACCATGACACCAGTTAGAACTTCAGAGGTCTTACAAAGACCGCCCACTAGGACAACCATGTCATTAACAGTTCTTGGCGCTTACAAGGGATCAGTACGCCTTCACAACTATAGACAATGAGTAGGAGCTACTAATAAAGGATCCTAAAGTCCGGCGCAAGTACACTTATGGGCAGGGTCTTATAGAGGGAGTTGTGAACAAAAACGTTCGATGTTGTTTGTTTAGATCTAAGCCTTAGAATGACTATTGACGTCCTAATTCCAAGTTGTTAAGGGAAAATATTTTAAAAACTGCCAACTACGACCTCATTTTGTTTAACAACTTGGTTTCATTGGGCCAAACTGCACAAGGTTCAGAAAAACAATTGCTCAGTAACCATATTTCTAAGTGTGAAAACTCGGTAGTCTTCACTGTGCCAATCGGATGAGTGCTCCTCCACAATACTAGTAATGTATATATCAAAAAATACGATAAAAATCAAGTAAAACACATTAAGTAACTGAGCTTCCCTCAAGCGAAAATTAAATAGCACTTGAACAGAGCTGGTGGATTAAGGCTACCCTGACGAAAGTGTGAACCGAGACAAGCGAAAACAGTGAACCATGGCGAACAAAGGATCTGGTGATAAGGGTAAACATTGAATTTGTTTTGGAAGAATAGGTAAGCAAGGTCGATGAAAGGAAAGCAAGGAAAACACAGCAATGACATGTCAACCGTTTAGACGGGCAGCAGGTGGAACAAGAAGCAAAGAAAAGAAAAACACAGCTTAAAAAATAGGCAAGTTAATTCGGAAATTCTCCCGTCAAAAAAAAAGGAGCAAAAGTACAAACCATTCTTGAAATGAAGCAAGCAAATTACGTATTTTTCGTTGAAGATAGCTAACAAGGGTTTCATGAAAATAGGCTAGTTACTGAAAGGAAAGAAAATAAAATTAAACAAATCGATTTGACAAGTAGAGTGATTACAGTAGGTTAAACCGAACTTTAGTCGAAGTCAAAAGCTTTCCCATTCACATAGATCTCTGGACATCAAACAAGCAATATCTTCTGATTGATCTTACTGCTCGAAAAAAAAAATATTTCAGGTAACACAATAGCGGGGTGGGTAACGCACTTGCGACAGGTAATTAGACAAAGGAAGAAATCGGCTAACCGGAAAGATGATTTTAAATCTACTCTATAGGCAAACCAGGGCATAAGTCCGTTATCTAAAAAAAAAAACAAAATGAAAGCGTTATAACGCCCGCCTTTTAAAATAAAGTCAAATTATAAATGTATGAAATAAATTTAAAATATCTGATTTATAATTACCACTGTTTCACATATCCGAGAAATCGATAGAGGGACAAGTTTGATCGGCGTCGTACACCAGATAGTCGTCAAATGTTGGCGTCTCGGGCAAAGACGATGCCGAACCGCCAAGAACGCACGTCGAAATCACAGGCTCGTCCTTGCATCTCGAACTGTAGATCACTTCAGGGATTGCGCGCCATGAATGTGCATTATTGCTCGCGCTGTTACTATACTGTGGAGAATATCCTTCTTGCTGTTCCCTGTAGTTTAACTCCTGTGTGATATCCGGTACTTCCCAAGTCAGACTGCTCTGTAAAGCACTGTCATGAAAGCTGGTCTCTAGTTTATTAGAAGGAGTACGAGGGGGTGTAAATTCTGACATGCCTGTTTGATGCTCTCTTGTCACCGGAAACTGCAGCTTCGGGGGAGTACGGGGTCGGGGAATTTCCACCATTAACTGTGCATGTTGGTTCGGGCCCGGAGCGGAATAGCACTGTAATAGCGCAGGTGGAGGACCTGGCGGAATATCAGAACAGGAAGAGGATTCATAACCTTCGTTCGCCTGGTGAACCACAGGCGACAAGATCTCGGCGGAGGACATGGTCATCATTTCCTGAAGGCCATCGTTTATATATGTCTTCTCTTTAATTCTGGACTGAAATTGGCGGATTTTTTTCCTGGCCAAGACTTGAATGTGACTGGCGACTTGTTTTCGAGTTCGAACCTTGCCAGTTTTCATAAGGATGTATCTCGCAATCAATTCATTCCTGCCGTACATCTTGTCTTTTGTCGACAACATGATCTTTTGTCTTCCGCACGGCGGGTAGATCGCGAGCGCCTCTTGAAAACTTGTTTCGATTTCGCCGGTCCATAAGCCCTCGGCTTCACCGGACATGTCTTCGGCAGCTAGACTGAAAGCCGTTTTCTCAAGACGTCCGCTGTTGACACTGTTCTTTGCCTCGTCTCTCTAAAACGCTTCGCCTTGACATAGACTCTTAAACTACACGGGACACGGAGATCTTTGTTTTGCGTATTTTCAAGTTCCGCTTGGTCCGCAAAATTCAAACAGGAGTTGTTAATGAAGCCAAGGATACGTGTTCAAGAGGAGAGGCTATCTTTCAACTAAACTACTAAAAAGAAAGCCCGTCTTCACGTAACCACGGCCGCTATCTCGCTTCTCGTTTGCCAAACTCTATTTGACCAAAACCTAATAGCACTCATGGTATATAGCGGTGGGAACATGCATAATTGATCGGCTCCTGAAGATTGTTTGACTTAAATCATTAATGCTCTCATGTAGTTAAAGAGCTAAAAGTTTAGTTGAAGTACTCCACAAAGCAAAGCAATCCTAAGGTAACAGCGCGATTTCTCTCTGCTTTTATCGAAAGAAGCGACGTGTGAACAAGTCTCTTTGATGCTTCTTTCGCCAATATGACGTTCTATGGGGTGCGAAGTTTTCAAACGTTTTTTTGGATAGCTCATATAGTTTGCTCAAGCTCCAGATCTACAAAACTTTTTTTCTTAGTTGAACAAGTCTGCTCTCACGCGCCCATTGACAAGTTTGTTTCTTGAACTGCAAGCAAAGACAGAATGCTTGTATGGATGCAAACGTTCCGGGCCGCTAAAACTACCGAGCGTGTCCCCGTTCGCGGTATAATTAGCGCCCCGTTCAATTTTACGCTTCATTAGCTTTTTAAACAAATCAGACAGGTGAGGTCTTGAATTAGTCAAGAGTTAAGAGTTCTCGCTTGATCTCTGATCAGACTGGTTGTTTACACTTTGTGTACCGGACTTAGTAGTGGTTAACAATTGATTATCGCGATAACTGTGAGTCAAACGTCCTGTGGGAATTAGAGGGCAAAAGGGTCGACGAATGTAGTTAATAGATGGTCTTACAAGATTCTTGCAAGATTAGCTGAGCGTTTCGTTGGTTCTAGCCTTGCTGAAAAGGTTTTTCCCACTAAATCCCGTTTTCCTCCTTTACCTCTCTTAACCAAACAGAAGCCATAAAACCAGCTACGGTTGATATGGATTTCGTCTTTAAAACAACTGGGTAAGATTTTTTTAAAATTTAACCGTAAAATGCTGAACCCGGGTTTATTTATTCTCCATCGTTTGTTTTTTTTTATTTTCTTTTGTAGCTTTACAGTTCAACCTGTCAACGCAGTTTGTAAACAAAGACTTTTGTGTCATAAAAACTTTTGATATCTTTATTTAGGGAAAATATATTTTCAAGGGGTTCCTGATTGGTTCGAAGCTGTGCAATACCAGGTGATACCACCCACCGTTTTCCTTCTCTCTCTTTCTTATACTGCTAACTCGAATTGTAGTATCGTGTTTATCTACCTCTGGCTTTTTTTCTTGCAAAACGATGTGATCATAAAGCCACAAATGCCGGGACCTGTTTGGATTTTTAAGGGCGCGTGTTGACATCATGCCATTCATGGTATTTCCTACGATTGGCCTGTGATTATTCTTTAGCAAGTCCTAAAATCGGAGTTTTTCATGTTTACTTCATCGTAAAATCAATATCACAAAAAATGTACAAATGACGCACGACAAAAATATATTTTTTTGAACACGCAAAACACAAAAATACCTTGCTAGTAGTTTGCTCTTACGTGTGATCTTGGAAACTACTTATGGGTCACATGTATTTGAATTTATCACGCATCATTGAAGTGTTCTTGGCAGTTAGAAAAAACCAGTCACGGAATTTCAGGCTTTTAAGTATCATTAAACGCATTAGGAGCATCTTTGGGTAAAGAAACTTCACGCAAAATTGCAACATAAACTAAATACAACTGATGGCTAAATTTCAGTTTTGTACTTTGCCTTTATCTACTAAAAACCTTGTTTGACACCCGGAAGGCAAAAACTCAAGCGATTGACATGCAGTGATATAGATAGTGTATTGAGTCCCAGGTACGTTTCATCTTAGCCAGGTGACCACAACGTCAAAAAACTGACAACCTTGACCGAATGATAAAAAAGAGGCGCGGTCTGTACACGAGCAATGTAAACTCAGCCCAAGCTCGTGTGAAATGGCGGGGGTGTTTTCCACCATGAGGTCAGTCTGTAGATAAAATGTTGATCAGATTGTCCGGACAGGTTCGCGAGTACCCACTCCTGGGCTGTGTTTTTAAAAATTGACTACAAAAACCACTCATCGGTCCATGGAATGGCTCCCAATTCTGTTTACGCTGTCCGACCACAATGTTTCACTACCCCTTCCATTTTTGCTCATGAAACCAAGAATTCATGAGACTGCAAGGAAAAGCAGACCGTGATCGTTGCGTATGTCTCAATCACTCACGCAGCTCTGCTTTGCTTATCTCCGCGAAAAATGTTACTGTTACGCGGGCCTTTTTTTTTTCCTGCGATTTTATGGCGGTTGTTATTCACAGGCGACCGAAAACTCCTAGACCGTCGAAACGTCAAGATTTAGAAGGGTGTCAATCATCTCCGCCTCCTTTCCGAAAGTTACGCAAAAATTAACTTGGCTCTTTTTAGTTTTCAGTTGTCTCTAAACGTGAAAATGCATGGGTGTCTGGAGAACCCGAATAGCGAATAGCGAATAGCGAATAGTCGCGAATAGCGAACAGCGAATAGTCCCTAATAGCGAATAGCGAATAGTGCGAATAGTGCGAATAGTGGCGAACAGTCTCGAATAGTGGCGAATAGTGGCAAATAGTGGCAAATAGTGGCAAATATTGGCAAATAGTGGCAAATAGTGGCAAATAGTGGCAAATAGTAACAAATAGGGTACCCAGTATCTCGCAGTTAACCTCGTAGCAACTTGGGATGGGATTTTTCCGCTAAATAGCACACTGACGCTTATCAGGACAAAGGTGTTTCTGAACATAATTTCTTCTGTTTTAACCGCTGCAAAAGCGTAAATACGTCTTTATTAGGTTATCCTTGTGTTTTATTCTTGAAGTTGTGCTATTGTAGGAGACAAGTAGTCTTCATTAAAAAGTTATAATGACTTAACTTTATGCGGGATAGGGGGGGGGGGGGGGGGGGGGGTTGCAATGTTGTTACCCATATAATTATCTTCGCTGGTACTGTTAGATCTGCCCCTCCCCCTGAATCGGTGTAGCTTTAATAACTTATACTAAATTGCACAGCAGCAGGGTCTCATTAATTGCGTTTTAAAGAATCAAAGGAAGATTATGCTGGGAGAAATGCTTTTTATTATTTGTTACGAATTTATAATAGATCGCTTGTCACCTTGTCGTGTAATATATATCGACATTATTAACAAAACACGAAATGAGAAGATGTTAGCTCGATTCCTCATACAGTTAGCGTGTCCATTCCGCATAAAAGAGTATTTGTCTCATTTGCATATCTTTTAGACAAGACTGGAACAAATCACATTTCCAAGTTTGCAAGATTAGGTTCAATAATTAAGGCGCTTGGTTGGCAGTCAAAAATCCTCTCAGCGGACATCTCAGTCTGCTCTACGTACGAGCAGTACCATAACTGCGTCAACCCTCACTAAGGATGTTCAGTTTTCCCCTGTAATGACTCCTGTGTTCCGTTTTGGTTGAAATAAGTTCAAAATTCTCCTGAAGGTAAAATCCAGGAACTCCAGAACAGTGATAAGACTCATTCCGAGGAAGAAACCAAATGTTCCTCCCAAGTTCCCTGTAGGAAAAATTAAAGGTGACAAATTGGTGTTGGAATTCGCTGTTTGCTTGGTAAAGATATTTGCCGAAATCGTTCAAATTTAGGAACAACAGCATTCACCTGTCATCAAGAAAAGATTTATTGTTTTCCATGCAGATCATAAACCAATCATGGTACATAACAACAATCAGACGTAAAAAGGGACTAAGATATATTTTAGATCCCGCTTAATTACGTGAAATGTTTCATCGACAGCCTAAAAGCATTCCACAAAACACATAAAAATAATCGGATCGTATTGAGGTGAAAGATTTGAACTACTGAAAAAACGTAAAGAAAAAACACTTCTATTATTTTAAATTTGGTATCGTGGTTGATGTAAGATTTCTGTCAGTCACGTAATTTAGATTGCCAAATTATATTTCTAATATTCCTTGGTTACTCGATTTTGATTAATTAGACCATAGCAGTGGCATAAATCCCAATTTAATGCCATTTACTTAAGACCGTTATCTTTTCGTTTCCATGGCATCAAAGTTTGATCTACATCTCCGAAAGATTTTCCAAACTTCCTCCCAAGGTCCTCAAGAATTCCGAGGTCGATTCGAAGATGCTCGAAAGTTTCCGAAGTTAAAATATTGAAATCGGAGGTCTAAATTTTGCCGTTCTGCATGGTCGTAATTCGCGGCAACGCCTGTCTGTAGTACAGAAATATGCCTTTTTTTTCAGTCGACTCAAGGTCGTGCGATGTCCTCCAAAAACAAATAATTGTAACACTAACCAATCAGTGCCCAGGTCTCATACAGAGGAGTCTGCTGAATGACGTCATAGCTTAGGTCTTCAAAATAGATATCCAAAGAGACAATGTTATCACTGTGGAAGGGTAAAACATGGATTCATAATTAGATGGTGGCAAACCTTCTCCTAGGTTTCCTATTAGAAGCCCTTGTAGCATAGTCAACATTTATATATATATATATATATATATATATATATATATATAAACGTTTGATAAAGCAAGGACGGACAACTTCTGACGGTAAA